TTAGACTTAAAAAAAATTTGTGGAATAATTTTTTCAAGTCTAACAATTGCCCTTAGAATAATTATTTAACTTAAAAATCCAAAACAACAAAAATTACTTTTGTCCAGATTTAAAGCTATTCTGCCCCGCTGTGCGACACTTGTATTCCGAGCTGACTTGGAATACAAGTGTCTCTTTTCCTGAATTTATTTTCATGGCAAATTAGGGTTTTTCACTCAAGCGTAAAAACTTGCATTACGCACTTGTTGCTGTTTTGTTATCATTGTAAGTAATAATTAAATTTAATTACTAATAAGTAGTAATTAAATTGTTTAATTGCTTTTTTTGTGATGCCAAATTTTAATAAATTGTCTGTTTTATTTTACCCAACTCTTATTGGCTAACTATGTCAAAGGATGTTTAAAAATAGGTAATCAGCAGCAATATAAAATTAAGTAGTTATCTCAATTATCTTGATAAACTTTCACGAGGCATTAAATAGGTTTATTCATTAAGTATCTTGGTATTAGTTTAATATCCCTTTTAAAGGAAAATATTCTATTCTTACTGAGAGTAGTGTTAATAAAAGATTTCATTTAAAAACATACAAAAATTTTTTATCTTAGTCTTGCTATAAGTATAACAAAAACTATTGATACCATGACAAATACAACATACTAACACAAAGTAGCAATGATATGATAATAATCTTAAAAAGCTGTTTGATGTTGTTATAAGAAAATAAAGTTATTCTTACCTTGACAGCGTTGAAATCAATTTTATTACCAAAACTATTAGCTGATGATCAATAAAGTAAACTTCAGTTCAAGAAATTTGCTAAATTAAAACCATATTTCAACAGTGGTAAAACTAATCATAAATAATGAAGTAGGTAGAACGTAAATGTCAAGCTAAAAAAAATGATAAAAAGTTCAATATAATAAAAAAAAAACATTTAACCTTTCATTAAATATATGGCTATTTGAATAAAATATAAACGAATAAATAATAGTTTATGTAGATCGAAAGAAATGGTAAAAATAGAACTGAAAAACATATTCATAATAAAAAATTGAACTATATATATATATATATATATATATATATATATATATATATATATATATATATATATATATATATATATATATATATATATATATATATATATATATATATATATATATATATATATTTATATATATATATATATATATACAAACACATTTCTCAATACAAAATCAAATACATGCAACCAGGACTTTTGAAACATTCATAAAGTATGCTCAGATGGCAAAGGGTGCAGGTGGTAATTATAAAAGTAAGGAGACACTAAATATAGAAAAAATAATAAAATGTTGGGTAGGGCACTCAAAAAATCGTGCAGCAAAATGTGAGGGGGGAGGGGGAAGGAAAGAGAAAGGGTCAAAATACAAGCATACATACTTTATGGACAATCCCTTTTCAAATACAAATATTTTTACTTTATGATAGGAAAAAATAAAAAGATTTTTTCAAGACTGATGAAACAATCAACCTAATAGAAGAATGAAAACAAATCTTCTAAAAAATTTCCCTTAAAAACAAATTAAAAATTAAGTGTTACATGGGGAAAAAAACACAAGCCTCTTGATTATTTAGGTTTGATAAGATATAGCCGGGTCGGGGTTTTTGACCGAGGCTGCATATACATATATTCATCCTAAAGTAAATTTTTCTTCTTCAAAATTTATGTTATATTTTGTATATGTATATATAAACATCATTATGATCATAATAATTATGATGATGATGATCATCATCTTTTTTTCTTTCTGCAAATACTACACCATATAAATAAAGTTTATATAAATATTAAAGGATATTGATGCAAGCATCTAAATAAATATGAAACATATATGTTTATGTCCATAATATAATTTCAATTTTTAGTCAAACTTAATTCTATTCCATACTTTTCACCATCTTGAGCAGTTGCTTTATTGATCATTTATTTTATCTTTTTTACAAAAACATCTCTCTTAAGAACAAATGTACTTTTATAATTCCAAGTAGCCAATGTAAAAAGGTCCCATCTAATATTAAGATATGTAATTCTCAGTTAACTAAGTATTGTATCTTTTATCAGATGTTAGGTTTTAGAGACTTTTGGTTAGTCTTCATTAACTAAAGTAAGTCTAACATTTAAATTTATTAATTATATAATATTTAATAATATTCAATTTTTACAAAGTGCTATATAGGCGGTACTAAAATTTTAAAACACTTTGACCTCTTTAACTATCCTACGATTACTCTTCACTCTGTTATTAATTTCTTTATATAAAGGTTTTGAGATTATTAAATTATTTCTTACTAAATGCATTATTAAAGTTATTATTGAAGACCTTCACTCTTCTTTATTTCAAGTAACTCGAAGGATATCACAAAGTATCTTGTAGTAACCTTAAATCTTTGCTCCTGTATTGTTTTTTATCAATCTTCATGAAAATTTAACATCTAAAGTTGCTCTATTTGTTGACAACTCAACTTTATACTCTTGTTTTGACAAAAAATCTTCACTTTTTGATTGCTTAAAACAAGCAGCTAACTTTTAATCTAATCTTTCTTCTGTAACAACTTAAGGCTTGCTGTTGCTTATGGATTTAAATTCTGGAACTAAAATCTGCAATTTTTGTTTGACAACTAAACTCAAAAATGTTGGTGTTCCTATATTGATGAATAACAACCCTCTTATTCTTATCACATCAGCCTTGGTTGTCAAGGTACGTGTTTCGGAGTTAAAAATTTGAGAGAGGGTTATAACCACAATTAAGTAGCCTCCTCGTCTGTAGTGGCGTTTTCAGCCTTGGGTAGGCGAATTAACATAAACTAAAATAAAAAAAAATTAGACCTGCTTCATCTGCCACTTAAGCCACTCTTCTATTGTTGTAAGGTTGCATTTCTTTCTTTTTTCTACTATTACAATTATGGTCGAAGCTCAAACAAACTACCATCTCTATTACAGTAAACCAAAACTCATTCTTGCTTGTTTCTTATTTAACTAGTTGCATCCTTTTACTGTATTTGTCCCTTCATGCTATAAAAACTCTTATTAATCCAGTTTTTTCCTTGCACATCAAAAAAACCTAAAAACTGTTAGCCACCTTCATGTTTTTTTTTTATATACAACCAGGGCCATCCCTAGGATTGGTGTCACCCGGGGCTAATGTTATTACGGCGCCTTCTCCCTCCAGTAACAGTCGCATATATAAACTTTTTGTGCTGTCGTGAATACTTTATTACTTACACCATCTACCAATCTATCATAAAGATAAATATATATACATTCAAGCAATCAATCTTTTTTGTGTCATTGTTGTATGTAGGTAGGTTTTAATTAACTTCAACTTACTGAAACTTCATTCACTGCTGGCCACTGTCATTAAAATTGTTAGCAACATGATTTGTGCCATCCATATCTACAATCCACATATGAGGAAGGTCTTTTCTGTTGGTGTTTTTGATTATATTGATACTTCTAATAGTAATAGTGTTTTGCTGACCGCCTTTTGCTCACACTATTTGTCAAAAACAGTAGCTATCAAACTGCCATGTAGAATTTTATTTGTACAGTTCTTCCTCATTTATATCTGAAATATTTGTCACTGTCAGATTTTCTTCTAAAATTTTTATTTTATAATTCTCATTAGGTTTTTTCTTTGGTTTTTTCAGGTCAAATAAGAATTCCCACTTTGACTCTTATTTGGAGAACTTGTCCATTCTGCCTTTTAAAGATGATTTAGTTGTGCCAATTAAGGGTAAGAAAACTGAATTTTTGTAAGGTTCTATTGTGCTTGAGATCCAGCGCTTGATTGATGGATAAAAACTTTATAGGTTCTTTAAACAACTCCAAACAGCAACATAGACTTCATTAATAATTTAGCTCGTTCTGATATAACTACAGACCTTGCGATAAAGCGTCGGGCGATGTGTATTTTACGTCATCCAAGAGCGATTTTGCGAGTAAGGCTATTTGCGTGGAGCAAAAAATTTTTTGTTTGAGTATATTTTATATTATTTTGAGTATTTTAAAAATATTATAGAGCGGAATTTTAATGAAGTAATTTACGATTATTTTATCATTTATTAAAGTATTTTAAAAACTGCACGCAGTTGATATAAAAGTTTGAATTACAAAAAAATTAAATATGCTAATTATTTACAAGTAGAAAAAATTCAGATTAAAAAAAAAGTTTAAATTTTTTTTAAGCTACCATTTTATTAAAATTATTCAGCAATAACAAAGTTGTCGATAAAATTGAACAAAAATACTTTCTTATAGTTTTAGATTTTTAACTTGAATAGTTATTTTACCGGGGTTTGTTAGGTTTTAAAATTATTCCATAGATTTAAAAATATTTATTAACTTAATTAATATTTATAAAAATATTTATTAACTTAATTACTCTTAAAGTATTTAAGAGTAATTTTGAGGAAACGATTTGAAAATTGATAAGCGCAAATAAAAAAATAAAAGGATTAATATTAAAACATTCTACTTGATTCAATAAAAAGTAGAGCTATTAAAATTTTTGTATAAAGTTGTATAAACTCAAAAAAAATTACTTAAAATAATAACAATCGCTTTTTTGTTAAAAGTTACTGAAACTCAACGAAGCGTGCTCAAGAACAGCTGCTGAAAAATAGAACGTAAATAGTTTTTCGAATAATTTTTAATAATAATTTTTAAGAATAATTTTTTCGCTAAAATATGTCTATTATACCTATAAAATTTTTACTCTAACATTTTATTTTATTTTACCAAAAATAAAATTCCTTGTTAACATTAAAAATCTATTCAAAACGTTCGTTAAAGTTTTTTAGTAATACGAGTGATTGTGTGATGATATACCATTCTCCAATATCAAGTTATGACTCCCTCCCGACCGCGTCATAATTTTTGTCATAATCTTTTTTTAAAAAAATAAGATTTATTGTTTAAAGTTAATCTAGCGTAACAAGAAATATATATATATATAAGAAAACCATTTTTTTTTTGTTATATAAATTAGATAGTTTGTCAAATTAAATTTATTGTTAAAAAATGCCTAAAGTAAAAAAAATGGATGAAAGTAAAAAAGATAAAGTCAAGCGAAAACTGTTTGAAAAACCTGTAGCTGTAAGTTTTTGTTTTTTAAAAAAAAAATGTTTTGTATTTTTTTTTTGAAGTGGTTGTGTTTTTTTTCTAGATTGTCAAACCCTATGTACCAGAAAACATCTATAAAGCTCCTCAAATCTATGTTCCTCAAGTGGTTGAAACAAGACCACTTGAGGAAATAGATAAACGATTGTATGAAGGAGAGCTGGAATTAATTGAGGATATTCCAGAAATAGACGATGGTAAATTAATATTTTATATAAACATGATATATTTTTTTTAAATATATAATAGTTTAAAATATTTTTTTTAGAACAAGTGCGTATACTTGATCATATTATGATGAGAATCGATCATCATTTAGATGACAATAAAATGGATAAAAATGATAGGTACTTTGCACTTAATCGAGACGCGACATCGAGACGCGAGATATGTTTAGGATGCTGCCTGTGCGAAGAAGAAAGCGAGCACAATCATTGTTGTGTAACAACCGTGTGCCCGTACGTACAAGAACTATTTGAACGGTGTCGCGGTTGTTGCTATTGTATATAAAAATTTGTAAATAATTGTAAATTTGTAAATAAAAAATTCATTTATTAAAATGTCTTTTGATGCGACCGACGATTGTTTGTTATATTTATATCAGGTCAATTTAGATTTAAAAAAACATTTACAGGAAACGCATTTAAATCAAGAGTTTTGGATGGATAAAGTTCTTTTAGCCTACGTTAAAATCCCTAATGGATTTTGTATATCAACACTTTGAATACAAGACAAACGAAGCTAAAATAAAACTTATTTTAAATTTATTAATTGGAATCGGTAGAAAGGATATTTTTAAAAAGTTTATAGTTAAATTAGAAAATCCCCTATCATACAAAGAAAGTTTAAGTCCTCCACCGTATACAGAACATCCGTATACAGAACAACCAACTTATTTTGTTCAGATGAAAAGTCTGGGTAGATATCCAAATTTTAAAGTGGTTCAACCTCCAACGTATTATCCGCCTGAAGTTGTTAGTTTTAAACAAGAAGAACTTTTGAATTATTATAATAAAAAATAATTTTTTTTAAGTTTTGTATTATCTTTTATTTGTTATTTTTATTGTCTTTTAGTTTGTATATTTTTTTAGCAAAAATGAAAAAAGAACAATTAAATAAAATACTTAATGAATTACACAAATTTTATTCAATGAGGCAAAACAAGTTGAAAGAATGGAATTACAACTACAATCTTGTTTTCGATCTTGTTACAAATGTTGAAACATGGTCTTTACAAGATTTTTGTAAAAGAAAATTAGCTTACGAAAAACTTTTGAACACTGTTATACCAAATTTACAAAAACAAATCAACGATTTAATGCATACGTTTTTTCATGCAAACGAAAATTTATTATTCTATCATCAATTATTTACTGCTCATTGTTTTTATAACATTATTAACAATATTAACGATACAAATCATTCTTATAAAAGACATTATTTATTTGTTCAGAATTTAATTATTCATTATGTATATCGATTTTTTGAACAAACATATTTTATGCTTCGTTATAAAACTAAACAAGACATTTTAATTATGTCATCTCTTTTTAATATTTATATGCAATGTATAGACTGGTTAATTGAGCAATGTAAATTTGTTTATGATCCTCATTTTAAACCTTGTTATGTTTATAAATATGATTTTATTTAGAATGTTAAGAAAAAATTTAATTATACATGTTAGAATACATCATGATTTAAAAAAATTTTTCTCAATAAAAGAAGACATATTGAAAGATTTGTGGTTTAAAAACTGTGAAATATGGTATCATGATAAATGCTATCGTGAATCATGGACTTTAAAAGATTTGTGTAAAAGAAAGTTAGCTTCTGAAAAACTACTACGAATATTCATACCAAATTTACGTAAACAAATTAACAATTTGATGTATTCGTTTTTTCAAAATAATCAAGAAATTTTATCACAATATTCTGTTTACAAATCACACGAAGACGATTGTTTTGAATTAATTGACAGACGTACATTAATTAGACCGTTTTATTTAGATATTCAAATATCGATTGTTGATAATATATATAAGCTTTTTGTAAATACTTATTATATAAATTGTTTTTCTGCTAATCAGCAACATAAAATAGTCATGAAATCTTTTTTTAATATTTATATGGAATGTATAGATTGGTTATTTAAACAACATGAATATGTTATTAATCCTTATTTTAAACCTAATAGAAATGACATGTATGATTTTATTTAACTTTTATTTAAGAATTAATTAAAAAATGAAACTATTTACTATAGACGATCAAGATTATTTATTTTTTAACAGAAAAGAATCCGATATAATGACAAAATTTTTAAATGTGGAGCATGAAAAGATTAATGATCCATCAACATTGAAAGCGTTTGGCAGTCTATTATTATTGGTACAAGAAGAAGTTTTAAAACAAACAAACTATTTAAAAAACATTGAAAAAGCAAAAGGAATTAAACGAGACTTTTATAATTTTGTAAAACAAGTATTATCAAAATAAATATTATTTTTAAATGTTAAATGTTAAAAGTTTTGTATGAGAAAAAACAAAATTTTACATTAATAAATTTTCATTTAATATATTGTCTCTCTCATCTTTTATAATATGATAACATTCCAATACATCTTTTTGAAAATATAATCCTTCAACTAATCCTTCACAATAATAACACAATTGTTGAACTATTATTTTTAAACTGTTTACATAGTTTATTTTTTTATACGATTTATCTATACAAGTAAAATAATAATAAAATGTCTTTAACACATCAAGACAATGTTCAATGACTTCACTATAGTTATGATAACACGTGTTGGAATAAAATACGCGATACGGAAGACATTCAAATAACATATCAACAACTTTTATCAACTCTTTTTGATGTCTTTATAATTTTTGGATCTTTAATATAAAAACCGCAAACTCTTTTACAACTATCCAATTGGCTTTCTTCGGCTAAAAGAACTTTATCCATCCAAATACCTTGAACTAAATGCGTTTCCTGTAAATGTTTTTTTAAATCTAAATTGACCTGATATAAATATAACAAACAATCGTCGGTCGCATCAAAAGACATTTTAATAAATGAATTTTTTATTTACAAATTTACAATTAATTACAAATTTTTATATACAATAGCAGCAGCCGCGGCACCGTTCAAATAGTTCTTGTACGTACGGGCACACGGTTGTTACACAACAATGATTGTGCTCGCTTTCTTCTTCGCACAGGCAGCATCCTAAACATATCTCGCGTCTCGATGTCGCGTCTCGATTAAGTGCAAAGTACCTATCATTTCTATCCATTTTATTGTCATCTAAATGATGATCGATTCTCATCATAATATGATCAAGTATACGCACATGTTCTAAAAAAAATATTTTAAACTATTATATGTCAAAAAAAAAAATATCATGTTTATATAAAATATTAATTTACCATCGTCTATTTCTGGAATATCCTCAATTAATTCCAGCTCTCCTTCATTCAATCGTTTATCTATTTCCTCAAGTGGTCTTGTTTTAACCACTTGAGGAACATAGATTTGAGGAGGTTTACAGATGTTTTTTGGTACATAGGTTTGACAATCTAGAAAAAAAACACAACCACTTCAAAAAAAAAATACAAAACATTTTTTTTTTAAAAAACAAAAACTTACAGCTACAGGTTTTTCAAACAGTTTTCGCTTGACTTTATCTTTTTTACTTTCATCCATTTTTTTTACTTTAGGCATTTTTTAACAATAAATTTAATTTGACAAATTGTCTAATTTATATAACAAAAAAAAAATGGTTTTCTTATATATATATTTTTTTGTTACGCTAGATTAACTTTAGACCATAAATCTTATTTTTTTTAAAAAAGATTATGACAAAAATTATGACGCGGTCGGGAGGGAGTCATAACTTGATATTGGAGAATGGTATATCATCACACAATCACTCGTATTACTAAAAAACTTTAACGAACGTTTTAAATAGATTTTTAATGTTTACAAGGAATTTTATTTTTGGTAAATTAAAATAAAATGTTAGAGTAAAAATCTTATAGGTATAAAAGACATATTTTAGCGAAAAAATTATTCTTAAAAATTATTATTAAAAATTATTCGAAAAACTATTTACGTTCTATTATTCAGCAGCTGTTCTTGAGCACGCTTCGTTGAGTTTCAGTAACTTTTAACAAAAAAGCGATTGTTATTATTTAAGTAATTTTTTTTGAGTTTATACAACTTTATACAAAAATTTTAATAGCTCTACTTTTTATTGAATCAAGTAGAATGTTTTAATATTAATCCTTTTATTTTTTTATTTGCGCTTATCAATTTTCAAATCGTTTCCTCAAAATTACTCTTAAATACTTTAAGAGTAATTAAGTTAATAAATATTTTTATAAGTATTAATTAAGTTAATAAATATTTTTAAATCTATGGATTAATTTTAAGACCTAACAAACCCCGCTAAAATAACTATTCTAAGTTAAAAATCTAAAACTAAAAGAAAGTATTTTTGTTCAATTTTATCGACAACTTTGTTATTGCTGAATAATTTTAATAAAATGTTAGCTTAAAAAATATTTAAACTTTTTTTTTAATCTGAATTTTTTCTACTTGTAAATAATTAGCATATTTAATTTTTTTGTAATTCAAACTTTTATATCAACTGCGTGCAGTTTTTAAAATACTTTAATAAATGATAAAATAATCGTAAATTACTTCATTAAAATTCCGCTCAATAATATCTTTAAAATACTCAAAATAATATAAAATATACTCAAACAAAAAATTTTTGCTCCACGCAAATAGTCCTAGCTACTCGCAAAATCGCTCTTGGATGACGTAAAATTCACATCGCCCGACGCTTTATCGCAAGGTCTGTAGTTATATCAGAACGAGCTAAATTATTAATGAAGTCTATGTTGCTGTTTGGAGTTGTTTAAAGAACCTATAAATTTTTTATCCATCAATCAAGCGCTGGATCTCAAGCACAATAGAACCTTACAAAAATTCAGTTTTCTTAGCCCTAATTGGCACAACTAAATCATCTTTAAAAGGCAGAATGGACAAGTTCTCCAAATAAGAGTCAAAGTGGGAATTCTTATTTGACCTGAAAAAACCAAAGAAAAAACCTAATGAGAATTATAAAATAAAAATTTTAGAAGAAAATCTGACAGTGACAAATATTTCAGATATAAATGAGGAAGAACTGTACAAATAAAATTCTACATGGCAGTTTGATAGCTACTGTTTTTGACAAATAGTGTGAGCAGAAGGCGGTCAGCAAAACACTATTACTATTAGAAGTATCAATATAATCAAAAACACCAACAGAAAAGACCTTCCTCATATGTGGATTGTAGATATGGATGGCACAAATCATGTTGCTAACAACTTTAATGACAGTGGTCAGCAGTGAATGAAGTTTCAGTAAGTTGAAGTTAATTAAAACCTACCTACATACAACAATGACACAAAAAAGATTGATTGCTTGAATGTATATATATTTATCTATATGATAGATTGGTAGATGGTGTAAGTAATAAAGTATTCACGACAGCACAAAAAGTTTATATATGCGACTTTTACTGGAGGGAGAGGGCGCCGTAATAACATTAGCCCCGGGTGCCACCAATCCTAGGGATGGCCCTGGTTGTATATAAAAGAAAAACATGAAGGTGGCTAATAGTTATAAGGTTTTTTTGATGTGCAAGGAAAAAACTGGATTAATAAGAGTTTTTATAGCATGAAGGGACAAATACAGTAAAAGGATGCAACTAGTTAAATAAGAAACAAGCAAGAATGAGTTTTGGTTTACTGTAATAGAGATGGTAGTTTGTTTGAGCTTCGACCATAATTGTAATAGTAGAAAAAAGAAAGAAATGCAACCTTACAACAATAGAAGAGTGGCTTAAGTGGCAGATGAAGCAGGTCTAATTTTTTTTTTATTTTTGTTAATGTTAATTCGCCTACCCAAGGCTGAAAACGCCACTACAGACGAGGAGGCTACTTAATTGTGGTTATAACCCCCCCTCAAATTTTTAACTTCGAAACACGAACCTTGACAACCAAGGCTGATGCGATAAGAATAGGAGGGTTGTTATTCATCAATATAGGAATACCAACATTTTTGAGTTTAGTTGTCAAACAAAAATTGCAGATTTTAGTTCCAGAATTTAAATCCATAAGCAACAGCAAGCCTTAAGTTGTTACAGAAGAAAGATTAGATTAAAAGTTAGCTGCTTGTTTTAAGCAATCAAAAAGTAAAGATTTTTTGTCAAAACAAGAGTATAAAGTTGAGTTGTCAACAAATAGAGCAACTTTAGATGTTAAATTTTCATGAAGATTGATAAAAAACAATACAGGAGCAAAGATTTAAGGTTACTACAAGATACTTTGTGATATCCTTCGAGTTACTTGAAATAACGAAGAGTGTAGGTCTTCAATAATAACTTTAATAATGCATTTAGTAAGAAATAATTTAATAATCTCAAAACCTTTATATAAAGAAATTAATAACAGAGTAAAGAGTAATCGTAGGATAGTTAGAGAGGTCAAAGTGTTTTAAAATTTTAGTACCGCTTATTTAGCACTTTGTAAAAATTGAATATTATTAAATATTATATAATTAATAAATTTAAATGTTAGACTTACTTTAGTTAATGAAGACTAACCAAAAGTCTCTAAAACCTAACATCTGATAAAAGATACAAGATTTAGTTAACTGAGAATAACATATCTTAATATTAGATGGGACCTTTTTACATTGGCTACTTGGAATAATAAAAGTACATTTGTTCTTAAGAGAGATGTTTTTGTAAAAAAGATAAAATAAATGATCAATAAAGCAACTGCTCAAGATGCTGAAAAGTATGGAATAGAATGAAGTTTGACTAAAAATTGAAATTATATTATGGACATAAACATATATGTTTCATATTTATTTAGATGCTTGCATCAATATCCTTTAATATTTATATAAACTTTATTTATATGGTGTAGTATTTGCAGAAAGAAAAAAAGATGATGATCATCATCATCATAATTATTATGATCATAATGATGTTTATATATACATATACAAAATATAACATAAATTTTGAAGAAGAAAAATTTACTTTAGGATGAATATATGTATATGCAGCCTCGGTCAAAAACCCCGACCCGGCTATATCTTATCAAACCTAAATAATCAAGAGGCTTGTGTTTTTTTCCCCATGTAACACTTAATTTTTAATTTGTTTTTAAGGGAAATTTTTTAGAAGATTTGTTTTCATTCTTCTATTAGGTTGATTGTTTCATCAGTCTTGAAAAAATCTTTTTATTTTTTCCTATCATAAAGTAAAAATATTTGTATTTGAAAAGGGATTGTCCATAAAGTATGTATGCTTGTATTTTGACCCTTTCTCTTTCCTTCCCCCTCCCCCCTCACATTTTGCTGCACGATTTTTTGAGTGCCCTACCCAACATTTTATTATTTTTTCTATATTTAGTGTCTCCTTACTTTTATAATTACCACCTGCACCCTTTGCCATCTGAGCATACTTTATGAATGTTTCAAAAGTCCTGGTTGCATGTATTTGATTTTGTATTGAGAAATGTGTTTGTATATATATATATATATATATAAATATATATATATATATATATATATATATATATATATATATATATATATATATATATATATATATATATATATATATATATATATATATATATATATATATATATATATATATATAGTTCAATTTTTTATTATGAATATGTTTTTCAGTTCTATTTTTACCATTTCTTTCGATCTACATAAACTATTATTTATTCGTTTATATTTTATTCAAATAGCCATATATTTAATGAAAGGTTAAATGTTTTTTTTTTATTATATTGAACTTTTTATCATTTTTTTTAGCTTGACATTTACGTTCTACCTACTTCATTATTTATGATTAGTTTTACCACTGTTGAAATATGGTTTTAATTTAGCAAATTTCTTGAACTGAAGTTTACTTTATTGATCATCAGCTAATAGTTTTGGTAATAAAATTGATTTCAACGCTGTCAAGGTAAGAATAACTTTATTTTCTTATAACAACATCAAACAGCTTTTTAAGATTATTATCATATCATTGCTACTTTGTGTTAGTATGTTGTATTTGTCATGGTATCAATAGTTTTTGTTATACTTATAGCAAGACTAAGATAAAAAATTTTTGTATGTTTTTAAATGAAATCTTTTATTAACACTACTCTCAGTAAGAATAGAATATTTTCCTTTAAAAGGGATATTAAACTAATACCAAGATACTTAATGAATAAACCTATTTAATGCCTCGTGAAAGTTTATCAAGATAATTGAGATAACTACTTAATTTTATATTGCTGCTGATTACCTATTTTTAAACATCCTTTGACATAGTTAGCCAATAAGAGTTGGGTAAAATAAAACAGACAATTTATTAAAATTTGGCATCACAAAAAAAGCAATTAAACAATTTAATTACTACTTATTAGTAATTAAATTTAATTATTACTTACAATGATAACAAAACAGCAACAAGTGCGTAATGCAAGTTTTTACGCTTGAGTGAAAAACCCTAATTTGCCATGAAAATAAATTCAGGAAAAGAGACACTTGTATTCCAAGTCAGCTCGGAATACAAGTGTCGCACAGCGGGGCAGAATAGCTTTAAATCTGGACAAAAGTAATTTTTGTTGTTT